TAGGAGCTTGTAAATTTATTAGTTAATGCTTTTGAATTTACAAATTCTTTTTGAAAATCTAATATTTGAATTTTATAGTAATTTAAATGATGAAAGAGTTAATCAATTAGTTATTTCATATAATATTGAGATTAAAAGATTATAGATAATAGTAAATCAAGAAAATTTTTCTGACAAAAAGTTATACAACTATTAGAAAAAAGCAAGAAATATTACATGTATCACAGTTGTTGATATTATTAAAAAAAATAAAATAAAAAGAAAAGAAGAAAAAGAAAAAGAAAAGAAATAAGAGATAAAAAGAAAAAAAGTAAAAGAAAGGGAAAAGGAAAAAGGAAAGGAGAAAAAAAGAAAATTGCATTATTTGTTAATAAAATATTAGCTGATAAAGAACTTATCTAGTATTAATTTATTAATATTTTAAAAATTTTTATTTTTCTTATACGCATATGTATACCTACTAATAATAAAAATTTTTTATTAATAAAATGCTAAAAATTACATAATGATATAATATAGATTCATTTTACTTTAATTTATTGATAATAAATATTTTTCAAATGTTAAATAAATTATTATATAAGATATTTAATTGTCTTAATTATATTTTTATACAAAAAAAAGTTAAAAGTTAAATGAATTAATATCAATATCAAATATACATAATAATCAAAAATCTGTCTGACGCTTTTATATCAATAGCATAAGAATCTTTTCAATAATTTATTTAAGCTACATAAATAAAAATACACTAGTATTTAAATATTATTACTATAGAACTAAAAGCATTATACATTAACTTACTATAACCAAAACTTTAAAATAACATTAACAAAATTTTCTAAATTATTAAAAATTAACTTTTAAGATGTCTAAGAAAAGAACTAGTATAAATAAAATAGTACATATTGAAGAAAATAATTTTAAAGAATTGTAAATATAAGAATATTTTAATAATTAATGAAAATAAATAAATTTTATTTACCTTTTTTTGTCTTTAATTTAAAAATTCTTTTAATATAATAAAAATTCAATTTTTTATATTTACGTAAAAAATTATATAAATAACTACTATTATAAGTTTAGAAAAACTTTTTTTCTCACAAATTTATATATATTTTTGTTGCTAAAAATATATTTCTTTCTTCTTTCACTTAGATTTCAAAGTAAGTTCATTTTTAAAATTGTTTTCATAAAATATAAAAAAAATTATTACTAAAATAAGAAATATAATTATAAAAATTAATATAGCACATGATGATTTCTGAATTTTATAATTTACTTAAACATGACATATAGATTTTGACAGTTAATTTTTAAAATGAATAGATTAGATTAACATTACACATAATTAATTCAATATGAAAATAATATAAATATAATATTTTTGATAACTATTAAGGATTTTAGAGTTAATCAAATTTCTTAAATATTTTATTATAATTTGATCTGAATAGAACAGATCAGATTAAAGAGTTAATCTGATCTGATATTAAGTTAAAATTTATATATTTAATCTTATTTTTTAGATTAATCTATTAGGTTATCTAATCTATCAGGTCAAATTTAAAGCTTTAATATTGAATTAATTTTCTTCTAGCTATTAAAGTTTAAAGTTATTAGCTTTGTAAGTTTAAGAATTTTAATATAGATCATATATATAATAAATGCAATTCAGAATCATTTTATCATGTGATTTAATATAAGCCAATTAGATTAATGTTATAAATCATATGAGGATTAACATTAATATTATTAAATAAGAATTAATTATTATTTTATTTGGTAAAGATCATTATAAAAATTTTTTAGATTATTTTTGTAGTTTTATTTCTATAATAAAAAGTAAAAAAATCAGTTTATTATTTGAAAAGTTGTGATAAAATTCAATTTAAGTTTTTTTTGTTTTTAGGATGTTCTTTTTGGTATTTTAGTAACATGTAAAAAAGATAAATTTTGATTGTAAAAAGATAAAGTTTAAGTTGAAATATTTTTTATAAAGTGAAAAAATTAAGCTTTTTTATATAAATATTCCTATATATATCAGAAATAAACTCAAATAATATATTGGATAATACATTAAATTAATATAAGATTTAAAGTAAATTAGAAACAATTTATCAAAACAATTAATTATAATAATATAAATAAAATTGTATTTCTTTATAGTTCAGTTAGAATGATATAATTTGAATCATTCTTATTGAACGATTTTTTATTATTTAATTAGAACGATATATTCGTTTCAATCAAACGATTTTATATTTATTATTCAGTTGAAATGATAATTTTGAATCGTTTCAACTGAATGATTTTTTTATCATTTGATTAGAACATTCTTACATATAACTAACTAGTAATTAAATATAAGTTTATTATATCATATGACCTGTGTTCATTAACCCCGTGTTTACTAAGAAATTTCTTCGTTCAATTATCAATATTTGTATTATAAAAATTAATAGTAAACTTGTAAATTGTTTAAGCGATAGCATTAATTACAACACATTACTAATGCTAAATCTGAACTTATCTAAATTTGGCATATAAAGTAAAATTGTCAGTTTCAAAGACCCTATATCTTACTTTAATTTATTTCTTTATTGTTATTTTTTTTAATTTTATTATGATTTATAAGATTTTTCGTAAAAAGTCTCAAAATACTCGTGAAATTTATTTTTATTTTATTTTATTTTTTTAAAAAAAGGAAATATAAGTAATTACTGCATCAAAAAATCCTTCTTGAACTTATTGTGAGCAATGCTAACGCCGATTATCTCGAAAAGTCATCGTATTGGATCAGCTTTTTTTTTTTTTAACGAGATGATCATATTTTATGAATTTAGCATTTTGAATTAAGAATTCATGAATTGATTAAAAAAAAAATCAATTGATTGCATTTTGCCTTACCATAATTATATTTCTAAAATTAATTTATAATCACAAAGATAATATTAAACTTTGTAACGTTTCAAATCAGTAAATATTTTTAATAATGATAAATAATATTTGGATTAGAAAATACATCACAAATATTAAATGGAGAACATGAAGATTATCAGCCTTGACATTACAAATTTTAATGTATGAAATACTTGAATAAAATAGTGGACGAAATTACTCGTGTATTACAACTTTATTATGTTAAATTATTGTTTTTTTTTTTATTACGATTAAATTTTCATGATGTAATCAACAATGTCAACAATGGAACTATACTTTCCTGATTGGTTCACTTGTCATACATTCCCAAAGATCTCATTGGTTTTCCTTGATTAATAAGTATTCCTTTCTTGGACTAAGCTTGTAATGAAAATATCCGAGAAGGTACCTCTGACACCAAAAGATTATGCTACCTTTACTATTGTCTTCTTTGGTGTACAAATCGTCTAATTATAATTCACGAAACATTGATAAACAGATATTTAAGAGCCAGAGTAACACCAATAAACTTATATTTTCTGAAACATTTCAATTTTAAGTGCATTATTTAGTAAATAAGTCATGATTTGGTTTAACAATTTTTGTTCATTATTCATCTTATTATAGGTCTCTCTATTTTTTTTTTTTTTTTAACAAGTTTACGAATCGAAGAAAAATAAACCAAAAATGTCATTATAATAATGTCGCTACAGTTGAAATAATAATAATAATTTAAATACAGTTAAAGGTTTCACTACATAGATCATTGTTTTTTTTATTGTGCAAAAAAAAAAAAAATTTCATACATTCATACTTTTATAGTCAAGTGTGATGTTGTACAACCGGGAACGAAATTTTTTTTTTTTAAATTCCAATTTTTAATTTTCGACGGGTGATGACAAAATTTTGTTATTTTGTAAGAGGGTTAAATGAAGTTCACGATACCACTTTGTTTTGCCATGCGATTTCGACTACAACAGATTCATCAAAAAAATAAAAAAATAAAATAAAATAAATACGATCTCATCAAAATAATTTTTATGCATGTTATGCGAGAATACTTTAATTTCTTGTGATCGAGGAGTTTCCGATTCTTTCTTATTGATAACGATGACAAACTAACAACGTTCATCGATCTGTTTGTTCGTAAGAAAAATTAAAAAAAAAACTTAAAAAGCGAATTCACGAATTGTTTTTTTAAACGAGATCTTTTTTTTTTCATTGCATTTAAAATCACGTGATTACGTTATCTTAAAAGATTTTTTATTTCCTTATGATTTTTTAATTTTTTTTTTTGGTAAGATGTAAGAATTCGAATTCATGTGTAAGATAATACATATAAAATGATGATTAAAAGAAGAAACTTATATACATTCAATGTTTGGACCATATGATGGCCTCAAATTTCTATGATAACATCAAAAGTGAATAATAAAATAATAGTAATAAATTTTTTTTTTTTAAAAAAAAAAAATAATATATAAGATAAAAACGAAAAAGTCGTCAAAAAATAAAAAAATAAAATATGTTTTTACATAAAAAAAATAGACATAAATACATGGTTTCTTTCCTTCAAAACCAACAATACGTTTGTTTTATTTTTTACAAAGGATTTAATATAACCCTTAAACAGCTTAAAATATTTTGACATGACTTGTGATTGAATCGGGATCAATCATTCTGAAGATTGATCTCGATTGAACCTTTCATCTCATGTCAAACAAATTGTTTTGTTTTTATATAGAAATTAATGAATAAATCCATAAACTAATCAAGAATAAATCTTGATCGATAGAAAGAATATTATTAACGGTCGCCATCCCTCCAAGAAATTAAAATTACGTATCGAACAGGATTCACTGAGAATACGAAAACGCCTGCGTATACACCCAGCAAATAATATATTATTCTAAGGCGAGTAAGTATAGTTTGAAAGTTTTGATCAATAATTATATTTACAGTCACACATCTACAAGTTAAAAAGAAAGAAAGGAAGGACTTCATTATTAGACTTTGAAGAAATTCATCATTGTAATCCGATTTGTGATAAAAATATCATGATGAAAATTCTTACCAAATCAATTAGAAATTGTGGCCTGACGACAATTTCGCATCATGGGAATGTGCAATGGAATTGCTGTCTTTTGAGGATGACTGGAAGAATGAAACCCTGATGGAATATGTGATGAAGGTGGTGATATCAATCCTGAAGGTGTTGTCGGTCGGGAAGGAAGATTTGAACATTTTGGTGGCCAACTTGGTGTTCTTGGCCTTGATTGTTTTCTAGTATTTAACGGTGTTACAGGGTTATTGATTGAATTTGGTGAGGAATAATTTCCGGAAGCAGTATTAGGTCTAGAGGGTAATTGAGTTTTGTTTTGTGATATCAAGCTAGGACTTCTCGTAGGAGCGAACATTCTTGAAGCAGGTATTTGACTATTAGAACCAGGATTTGGTGGTGAAATCGCACCGGATGGGATTCCTGGTTTAGAACTTGGTATGGCGGAAAGGATAGAGATTGGTGACATTCCAATTAAACTCGGGGTCCTAGACCTTCCGATCATCTTGGAAGGAGATATGAGCCCGTCAGTTGGGCTTGGTGATTTTGATGATAAACTAAGCCTTGAACCTTGTCTTGTGGGGGCTTTAGGTAAATGAGAAGATGCTGGAATCTTGATATTTATTGCTTTTTGACAATCGGATTTCATATTCTCGATAAGCTTTAAGATACGCTCATATATGATTTCTTCTTCTTTGTCATTAATCGATATCACATCTGACTTTTCTATACTATCAGTATCGTTTTTTGAGTTCAAACACTCCTTTTTCTCTATAATATCCTCCTTCATTGAAGGAATAACGTTCTTTTCAGCAACTTTCATATGTGCTATGGTTTGTCTCAGTTTAACACATTCTTCATTTGACTCCTTTAAGGAGACCTCTAATTCTGCGACTCGTTTTTCTAACGCAGCTGAAGAGGCTCTCAATAACTGATTCTCTACCTCTACCACACGGTGCTCTAAAGTGCTCAGCCTCTTTAGTTCTTTCTCATCCTTTGGTGGGTGTTCAAAAAGTGTGTGAACCATGTTTAAGAAATTATGTATGAGAAGGAGAGCTTTATTGTATTTTATTTTATTTTATTTTATTTTTTTTTTTGAAATGAGAATTACAAGTAATAAGTATTTACAATATATATAATAGAGTTTTCAAAGTGAAGAATATTCGTGAGTGAGTTTGCCGCGAAGGTCTACAACGCGGTCAGCTCGTTGTGTTTGAGTTTTTATTTGGAGTTTAAGTGCACTGCACAAGTTACGCACAGTAAGTGGCGACGGGAAAGTTCCCCTACTTGGTGTAGCTGATAACTCTTCTTTGTTTTTTTTTTGTTCCGAAAAGGTCACATGAAGCTACTGCATCATCTACATTGAGGCACAAGATAAAAAAAAACTTTCGTTAAAAGCTTCCTTACTGTAAAACAAGCCACTAATCCAATTCTATAAGTTTTTTTTTTTTTTTTTTTTACTTTAAAAAAAATTTTTTTTTTTGTGTACCTTACTTTATTCATGAGTCGATAATCGGAAGTCGAACGAACATTCCTTCCTCTTTCGCTCAATGGTTTCACAGTTAAATTATTCGTTCAATAAAAGGGATCAATATAGGTAAATTGTTTTTTTATATTACATCTTGTACATTCTTGCTAAGTCTTTTTTTTTGCCCCACACTTGGGAGTTTTTGAAAGAAGCTTAAAAATTTGGTTATTTTTAATTTATTCAACTTTTGGATGGTAAATCGCAGTAAAACCGTAAATGGCAGTAAATATTAATGTAAAGTTATAAATGTAGTGAACTATTAGTCCATTATTGGCGAAATATTAAAAATATTTTAAATGAAACCTGTTATTAAAAAAAAAAAATATTAATCATCATTTGTGAGCTCTTCTCATTTGAGTTCATTTTGTATTACAAATAACAACCTTTCTCAT